ATATAGGGTATATCTTATGGTACGCGTTTGGTATCATGCATATTTCTCGAGTATGACAGAATTCCTATAGTTCCCAAAAGTACGAAAAATATGATTCAATCTTCGCTTCATTTGCCTCCAAACAGGAAAGTTGGTGAATTTCAATACAGTGACTAGAAAACGTTGCTCTGATAGGTCAAAACTACGAAAGTTTTATAATCACTGCAGTGATAGTGCAAGTTATTGTCACTGATAAGTATGTGATAACAAACCTGATAAACAACACTTATAAATTGGAGGAGAACAGAACGAAGAATTGTAGAACTTTAGTGGGTAAATCGTTGCTTTGTTACGATTTCAACTTTTTTTTCAAACTGTTTACAACGCAAAACAAAAATTTGCTTTTGTAATTGTTTTGATATTTCATGTATCTATTTTCTTTAAATGCTGAAGGATTCATCCGTGGAACATGTGAACAGGTAATGAATTATAAACAAATAACTGCTTATGCACATTAGTCGATGATGACGACACGGTAATGCCTGACGATGCTTTTAAAATCAATTCTAAAATATTTTAACTTGAAGTTTGACTCCAAAAATTTGTGAAAGTCGTCACCATCTGTCTCGAACTCAAGAAACCGTTCAGTAGTAGCTGGATTTACCAGTACAAAGTTGTATAATATTGTGTGTCGATCTAAGGGACTACTGACTGGCACCTCTACAGCTCTAACACAATGAATTGGATATTGGTATAGGGATACACAGGTAGTCTGCCAACGTCATCACATTCTTAACTTGTCGTTTGTTTCTGTACTCCCTATAGGAATGTAACAAAAATAATGAAGCACAGATGACAGTCTCCGTGCTACTATAAGTCAAATCTATTCTTATTCCACACCTAATCGCAATAGTTCGATTTCGGGGAACGCCCACAACACTCTGGTTTTAGCCTATAAATCACAAAAAGTTATTTTTAGAAACGTTTCTTTTTCAATAATAGAAAATCGGTCATCTTGAAGACAATGTTATTTTTCACACATGTATGACATCGTCATCTTCTCGGTATAATGTGTTAACCTTGTAGTCAACATCACATTGTCTGTAATGTGTCGAGGAGCTTCTACCTTATACAATTACCAGTAAGTACCTTCAATAGCTCATCCTGGAGTCATTTATAAACCGTTGATAAACTTTTATGGTAAACATTGGCGCCAGGACACCATTACTTCCAATTCCTTATTGCAAGCAGTAGAAGCAGCGGGGCGATTATGCAAAACATGAATTTCGTTCAATATTATACCGGAAATGACCACTAAAGCTCGCATCTCTATGTTCATTTCATTCGACAATGGTATCTTTGAGATGTAGGTGTTTTAAGGGCAAATTTGAAAGCAATGTTTATCAGAGACTTTGATGTAGATCCATCTATTCTAAGTCCGTGGTATTTAATTAGTCTTTCTTCATGATATTTTGCCATATTTAACATAATTAAGACACTAAGGTGGAAATTTAAGTATCATACAAGACAAATACTAAGTCTGATTATATACATGATATACTATTAATCTGTTGACAAGATTCTCCTTTTTATTAAAAAATCTCCAGACTAAAGTTCAGTGTTTGGATTTTTGTACTTCCTATACCATAGAGGTAGGGTTAAACATAAACAAAAACGACACGATATCACAATGAACGCTGACTGACAATGCCTCCGAAAAGTCGTGAACTTTGATGAATGTCTGAATACTACAATGCTTTGTAGTTTAGTTTTAAATCCACAGACAACGTCCTTGCTCAGAAGCATGATAGATGTTTTGTCCCACATTTTGTAATTGGGGGGGTCTTTGTACGAACAAAAGAAATGGCATTCTAACAGACAACATCGATTTTACTCTTTGTTTTTAGTGTGATTAATTCCAAGGTCACCCCTTCGGATCCGTTGTTAATTACCATTCACCTCTGCAGTGTGAATAATAGTCAAAGTCACCGTACCGATGTTAAGGATCACCAAGATCAGTTCTTAGATAGATGTAACCACGAAGTTAGATTTGGCAATGTGAACGAAGTTCACAGCGGACAAGCAACACTTACAACAAGATCGTCACTCACCTGTATGTTCTGATACAAGGAAATAATTATTTACCTGTCTATAATCTGAATAAACGAAATGCATCATAAAGTAGTCATATTTGATAACATATAAATTTCCCAGGAAATCGAGTCATGTCATCTCTCATTGTCTCGGGTACAGTTGTGGAATTGCACAACAATAGACTATGTGCAATGTCTGCACGATGTATATATATGTATGTAAACTATGAGTTTTCCTATCATGCGCACATCGTGCAGACATCGTGCGCACATCGTGCAGACATCATACGCACATCGTGCAGACATCGTGCAGACATCGTGCGCACATGTGCGATTCCACATCATTATATTGTACATACATCGGTATGTACTGTAAATCACAGCAGCTTGTTTACCAATCGTTTAAAGATAAATAAGTCAATCGATCAAAATGACGTATAGATACATGACATAAGGAATTATGTGAAGAGCACAACTTTATCTTATTTTCAGAACGAAAATAGACACCAACGAGCAGAAAACGTCCAAACTTATTACTTGGCTGAGAATTTACATGGAATTTGGAAACTGTTGTAGGACAATTGGGGCAATCCTTTCTCGAAACGTCGGAACAAACAGGAGGTCACTGCTGAGGGCGCGCAAGTGTAGTGCACTAACTGGATTGAGATATGACGATAATGCTGAGCAAAGAAAATATCTTAAGTTAAAATTTGTAAACAAAGTGACTCTAGTCAGCGTGTAGGTGCCATGTTCCTCTGAATCACCTTACACTGACCAGTACGAGAAAAGGAAAGGTCGGATCACTTCTAAATTGTAATACAAATGTATCAACATTCAAGATACAATAAAATAGAAATTTTATTTTAAGTCTCATATCTCAAACAAGGAATAAGATAAGCTCTGAAGCGATATTTTTGCGACAAACACGATCAAAAGAGAAAAAAGTATAAAGCGAAGCAAAGAAAACATGGCTATTACATATACAAATTATCACAGAAAGCTATAGCATAATAAAGTATACAGGAAAAACGTACACAGCAGGGCAGGTCTATCACAGGCAGTGATATGAACTATTATAACCAGAAATACTAAATAAGATTGTGAACAGCAGTGAACACCTGTTTGTCATTGACAGACTGTCCAGCATTCTGTACCAGGAGGTGAGACCAACTCAACAACAGTCATATCAAACGTCCTAATGATATATAGAAAAAAAAGAGATCGAAATTAATGAAAGAGAATACACGACAAACACAAGTTTATATTAAAGGAAGGGTTAATGAGTCTTACCGAGAAAGCGAGATAGTGATACACTGAAGTGTCGAGCACTTCAGTGGGCTTGTGTTGTATATTATGAAGCACGACTTCAACATGAATTACAATTCGTGTAGAAATCCAGCTCACAGCAAGAGCTCTGGTGAAAATTGCAAATACATGTACTGTTTTAGATGCCAACGCCCATCGTTTTTCCTGTTACACGTATTTATTGTTGTTGGTGAACTGTACAGTGGATGTTGTAAATACAGCACAATATGGTGAGAGGATCACTAAGTGGAGGAGTAGGGAGTTTTGGTGGTAGGGGGAGGGCTGTGCGGGTAGGAGTGGGCGATCAGATATTGTTTTATAATCAAAATATATTGCATATGCACGGTATATTTTGAGATCGAATGATAACTGTTGATCAATATCTAGAGGTATCCCATTATTTTACTGAGTCTAACACAAACACATGTAGCCGATATTTGTGTGAGTTTTAAGTTTTATTATAATCTCACAAAGGTCTACAAATCTTCACTATTATACATAGCAAAATGTATAAGTGACACCAAATCAGATAAGCGTTGTCTACATTTCAGAAAACGTACAATCAACTGAGGGTCACTAATTGGTCGTATTTTCACGTATCTACGTAAAGCTTATTTCAGGAAAGGTCATCTCTACATTGTGTGATTCTTACAAGGCCATTGTCAATTACACTAAAGTGGCGACCCGATCTTCATTGCTGATACCAATATCACCTCTCCATTGAGACTTCTATACTTTACTTTATTGTGCCAGTGTTTCGGTTTGTAACACATACCTTTAGGGTACAGATCCATTTTAACTAATAACCACAAAGAAATGTATGTTGTAACATTTAAATAAAAGATCCGGCGTAAGAGATAACGATTTTAATATCGTGATTGAATTAGGGGAACTAGTTACAATCAGTGTGTTTTTAGATACTGAAATTTATTTGTAACACTCCTATTATTTACATGACGTGTTCTTTATCTATCAAGATTGTGTATAAAAATATTTCATAATGCCACGTACAGATATCGACTGAAAAATATATAAACGTTATTCCAATGATGTTACACCCTCAATATTTTGCAACGCCTTTCAGTGGTATACGAATTCCGTGGTGCATGGTATTCGATGGTGAAGATTAAGTGGTGCATGGTATTAACATGTAGTTGTCCAAGTATGACCTGGCCCCACTTGTATAAAACATATCAACTTGAGATTTCCTCAAGTCGAGATTTTCCTCAGCTAATATCTCCTTGAAAATATCTTGTATGAAAATTCCTCAAGGAATTTCAGGACATCCTAGCCGATGACTTCCTCCTGTTCCTTGAAAAAAAATTTATACAAGCCGTTTTTGAGGAGATATCAGCTGAGGAAAATCTCGACTTGAGGAAATCTCAAGTTGAGATGTTTTATACAAGTGGGGTCTGGTGCATAATACTCGGTGTTGTGAGTATAACATAATGTACAGTAATCGGTAGTTTGAGTATTCCGGGGTGCTTGTATTTGGTGGTGTGAGTATTCTGTGGTGCATGACATCAGGTTATGAGGGTTTTGTGTGGTGCATGATATTCCATTATTTTAGTAAACTGTGGTGCATGATATTCGGCGGTGTGGGTATTCCATGGTGAATGGTATTCAGTGGTGTGGGTATTCCATGGTGAATGGTATTCGGTGGTGTGGGTATTCCATGGTGAATGGTATTCGGTGGTGTGGGTATTCCATGGTGAATGGTATTCGGCGGTGTGGGTATTCCATGGTGAATGGTATTCGGCGGTGTGGGTATTCCATGGTGAATGGTATTCGGCGGTGTGGGTATTCCATGGTGAATGGTATTCGGCGGTGTGGGTATTCCATGGTGAATGGTATTCGGCGGTGTGGGTATTCCATGGTGAATGGTATTCGGCGGTGTGGGTATTCCATGGTGAATGGTATTCGGCGGTGTGGGTATTTCATGGTGAATGGTATTCGGTGGTGTGGGTATTCCATGGTGAATGGTATTCGGCGGTGTGGGTATTCCATGGTGAATGGTATTCGGCGGTGTGGGTATTCCATGGTGAATGGTATTCGGCGGTGTGGGTATTCCATGGTGAATGGTATTCGGCGGTGTGGGTATTCCATGGTGAATGGTATTCGGCGGTGTGGGTATTCCATGGTGAATGGTATTCGGCGGTGTGGGTATTTCATGGTGAATGGTATTCGGTGGTGTGGGTATTCCATGGTGAATGGTATTCGGCGGTGTGGGTATTCCATGGTGAATGGTATTCGGCGGTGTGGGTATTCCATGGTGAATGGTATTCGGCAATGTGGGTATACCGTCCGTGTTGTATGATATTCTATGAAGTCGTTTTCAGTGTTTAAAAGTTTCTGATATTACACCAGATGTGATACAGCGGGACATTTGTTCAATATCTTAAATTATCTTTATGCTATAAAAATCAATCATTTGTTTATACGTGTATGAACCTGGATGGTTTTATGAGTCAGAAACGAGACTCCGGAGAGAAGTGATGTAACTTTTAATATAGGTTGAATTCTCAGAATTCAGAACAAATGTGGAATGTCGATACGAAATACGATAAAAAACTCACAGTAGCCAAATGGACATCTATCGTCTTTCCGGATATGGATCCACGCCAGTGCTTGATTCTGACTGTGGTGATTGCAAGTACCCTTGGGTTTCTCGAAAGGATGATAATGACATTGTTTTATGATGGTTGATATCTGCCCACTTGAAAAGTCTAAAAAGTCTGGCGTCTATATAAAGCTAGGTAATAACTGTCAATACGTATTACCCCTTTTTTCTAAATGTATGTAAACGTGTTAAAGCAGTAATAGTGATACATCGACAAATGTCCGCTCCAGAGAGACTTGTATAACAGGAGTGCATCAGGTAACTCTAGATCTTTTACATTTACACGGTGATATATAAACTAAGCACAAATGTGCGTGGTTTACGATACTGTGAAGTTGTTTCGCTGACAGGAATTTTCGCGGTTTGGATAGATTTGATTATTTCTAGCGATTTTTCTTTCTTTTTTTTTTTTTTTGTGGTACCTATATGCAGAAATATAAAGTATTACAAAACAGACAATATGGTTCCATATTTTTGGCGAATTATTTCTATCAGGTAAATCATATTTCTAGTTAAGTTATATTTGCAGTTTTTAATCGAATTGGTAAAGTTTCAACGCCCTTACCTCATTTGGACTGCTCACAGAATCAGTATGTAGACTGGAACTATATCTTATAGTTGGAATACAGCCGTGCTAATTGCGAAAATGAAAACATCACAAAAATAACCGCTTATAGCAGTATCTACGCCACATGGTGCGGGACAACAATGGCGTTAGTATTGCCGACACATACGGTTTGCGATACAATTCACTATCCCTTTTAATAGATTGCACTATCGATAATGTGGCATTTATCTGAGTGTAAATCAAGTTTAAATCGGCACAAGACAGCAACAATGAACCATCTTCTGTATACCATCCTCTACTTGTACCTACCAGACATTAGTTGGTCTACATTGGTCATGTATACAACATGTTGTGCCTTTCACTTCGTTACAGTGAATTAATGGGGTAGACGTGAAGATTTGATCATTGTGAGTGCATAAAGTTTACAATAGGAAGTGAATATCCACTAAAAGCTCGTGATTTCCTCGACTGTAGATTACTTCGATCGGTCAAGGGAAAGAGATTCTCCGTCTAGAGTATGTAACGTAAGGTGATCGGAATTACGAAAAAGTCATATATTAGTTAAATACACGGCTTATGTTTTATCATTCTTATGTCCGGAGACAGCAGAGTAACTTTAAGGAGATAAATATGGGTTATTTTTAGTTGTCTTTTGTCGACGGCCCCGTACAAACCAAGTACGGTGCCAAACATAAGCACTTAACATGCTAATTTAGAGTCTATCTTGCAACTTTCTTCAATCTTCCCTGCACTATCCAGATTGACCTATGGTTTATTAGTTACATACATTCTAAACCTGCAGTAAACCTGTTTATGATATTGAATGTCCCCTGTGTTTTTTTTCTCTAAATATGTTGGTGAAACAAAAGGACAGTTGAGACAATGTATGAATGGTCATCGTTCAGCAGTAAACCATGCAGAGAGGAAATGTTTCGATCAACATTTTGACCTCCCTTATTAAGATTCGTTGAGAGTCCGCTTTCGGAAAGAAATACTATGGTGCTTATAACGTTATATATAGCACCCCATTCGGTATGCAACATGAGGAACCCTATATTAGACTCATTGGCAGTGCTGCGCCACATGTTTTCAATGACCGCATGGAATTGCCTAATCCCGAATGCAGTAACACAGACATTATGGCTTTATTCACCTCTCAATGGAGTCAAGGGCTAGCGGTATTACAATAAATCTACCGGATACGCTGTTAAGCTTGAAACCTTCATACAGTCTGTACAGAAGCCATTTAGTGTCCATCTTTCGAACTACGTTGTATTCGCTTCCTTTCTACGTGTTTCAATAATTTTAGCTTCAGTGTTAAGCTTTTCATGGTGAGTTTTTGAAACTAGCTTGAAATTATCGATGTAGCACAAAGCAGGCTTCATAAAGCCCCAGGTTTTCAGCAATTCGGCAATGGATTTAGTTTATTACAGATGATCAGCTACAATTTATTAGTTTACGAATGGTTTCCATAGTTCTTTAAAATTGGTTCCATTTTTAAAACTTAGTGTTACTTTTCCAGCCTTTCGTGTTGATATTATATTATTCGTGATGACAGTCACGAGAGTAGTAACACACCTCCACCAATATATCAGGTGTTCAAATGCTTTTGTGATGGAGTCAACTTTATTGTTTTTGGCATTGCAAATAATCACAGACCTCAAGAGAGGGTGAAAAACTGCAAAATACAGAATAAAACAATGTGTCAAAAATTTAGGAGTAAATATAAAATGTGCAGCTTGGAATTTAATATTTTATACTAATCACACTAATCACATCTATTAACTTGGAGTGGTTTCATATACATGCATATAAATATACTATGTAGTCCCGTTACCGTAATCGGAGGCGCAAAAAAAATTAGCATCTATGTCAACCTAATCTAAAGTGTTAAACTAAATCCACTATTTGGAATCACAATTTGTTGAAAGAAACGAAATTATGATTAAATTTTCCCTAGCATGTTATAAAAAATAAACGAGTATTGTCCGAATGGATTTAACCTGAAGATCTATTTTTAAATCTAGGTATTACTTATTACATTACAGTGTATTACTAATAAATTGGATTGAACTGGAATCAAATATTTGAGTATAAACTGATATCAGATAGGAATGATGCAATAAACTTACACGATAGTTGCCATAAGATGTTTTGAGTGTCAAGAAGCATGCATGGTGCAGCTATATAGCAAAAGAGTGGTAAAAAAGGGAGATAACTCTAAGTATAAACTGAAAAGGAAGGTAGCAAGACAGCACAGCTTTACTGTACGGACCATCAGCCTTCCTTATTCGATTAGCTAAAACTTTCCTTACAGCGTCCTCTGTGTCTACAACCACAGACTTAGATACAGATACACAGTTGTGGGATCGTACAAATTGTAGAACGCACAACGTTACACAATGTGCGATATGCGCACGATGTCTGCACGATATGTATGCGTGATAGACGGACGAAATTTGCTTTCGCACATCTGTGCGAACGAGGTATTATTCTAGCGCATAGAAGTGCGATTCTGTCGTGGATGATATAATTTTCAAAATGACTTATAAATAAGTGAGGGAAAGGGTTTATTTATTTTTGAAATATATAAGAGTACAACTAAGTATATTTCCTTATTCAGACATATATCAATATGACAGACAAATATAAATCTATCTAGTACAGACTGAATTGTTATATACACTTGAAAATAAGAGTGTTATCCACGAGACCAGTCATAGCGTACAGACACTCATTATGTATGCATTATATATATGTAAACATGAAATGAACGAATTTTTTGTTTCGAAAAGGATCACCTGATATTTCTTTCCGTCAGGAAGGAAGCTTCTGTATTTCTCTCAATATACTATCATTTTGTTAACAAAACATGTATATGTACATCGTATGCAGGTAACTTTTAAGTATTCTGTTTGTTTTAGGTATTGGGTTGTCGGAGACTCACCACTCGACACTCTCTGAGTTGTGAAATTATACTCTAGAAAAACCTAATTATGCAGTCTAATCAAAATGAAATTTTCAATTATCAGTTACATGTTAATGCTTCTGTGATCGCTATTTCGTCACAACTAAACGACTTTTTCGTGTAATTTTCAAACCGTAATGTTTTTATCAAACCGGACAATTCTACACTAGATACTGTACACTGTGTGTAACTTTCCTCGATGTTCGTAAAGGACCATTTTTAAAGGCATTTGAAGTCCCATTTCTCTAGTGCGTGATTCTAAATATTGCTTCCATGATTTATATATATACAATGTATATATATATTCTTATCTTAACATATCACCAAACGAGACAGTATGACGAGAGAAAATGCGTCGACAGCAGTGATAAAGACGGTAGTCACATGTTTGGTGTGAAATGCAATTTTCCAAAGAACATTGCACACAATTACAGCTTAAACTTTGTTCAGCATAGGTTTTAAACCATTTGTCATTTCACAATTTCCACCATCAGGAATACACGTATACTTGAAATTTCAATTCACTCAAGCATCGGATGTTTTTTCATCCTACGACAATTGTTTCACCATTTGAAACCTTTCTATCACTTACACTGATTTGCTGTCCTGAACCTCGAATTATCCTAGAACTTCATAACTATTCTCCGCTTTGTAGCTAATTCAGTGGCTGTTTATGTTCTCGGCCACTTTAAGCGGGACACCGTATTGTTTACAATAAGAAGCTCTTAAACGCATGCGCAGTTTAATCGCTGATTTAGCTGTGTTAATAGCTTACATAATGATACACGCGATATTTCAGTTTGGATACAGTGTTATGGTCATCAGATGCACCTTTCTTGAAGTTGAAAGTGTTAGCTGTGAGTAACGTTTTCATAGAATTGTGTTGATACGGTCCTTTTGAAATTCCAGAACATAAATATCTTGTGGAATTTAAATGCTAGAACGATCGATCTCATCTGACAGTGAAAGGTATGTCGATTCCCGCCTGTTTTACAGCCCACTCACCTCCTCATCGATCGGTGCTATTTAGATATAAATTGTACGTCTTAAAATAATAGTTTTCGATTTCCAGCAAATCTGTAGGCAGAACACTACTTTATATGGAAGTGTCTGAT